CAGATCCGGACCATACCAATTTTGCTATGTGGGTTGATGATGGCTATCAAAAGCTTCTGGTTGACGCATAACTTGCTAAGGGACATTTAACCAGATATAAGTGGGGGTGTTTTGATCTGTGTCGATTAGAGAAAATTCAAAGCAGATTGCAACTTGTGCACCCAATTCTTGTTTTTCAAAGTCATTTAATATGCTTTATGCTGTAAAATCATTCCACCCTGGAAAAAGAACAGTTCAAAGAAATCATTAAAAGCCCAAAAGCACCACAAAGTTTGGGCCCATGATGATTGGATGTACATTTCTGACCACAGCTTTAGTTGCTATTACTGCTGCTGAGTTCTTAGTACAATTGACTGTTAAATCTTTAAGTCCATATTTCTACATAGGGCTGTGTGTTCAGTATCATTATATCTGCTCAAATATGAAGCAGTAAAGCCAATATTATGTCTCATTGGTGGATTTTCTTGAGCTTCCTGTATAAATCCTCAAATAGCTTTATTATTCTGCCTTTCAGTCCACCCAGACCAACCCGTTCCAATACACCGCAAATGCTTCAGCAACAGCATTTCATTTCACACCACCGCCTTGTTTTGTTGCTGCTAGTCGCTAATTATGCTACCTTTCCCAAGTGTTTGGCTGTGTGTGCGCTAGAGAGAGGTAGAGGCTGTGGTTGGGAGGGTGAGGTCGAATTCCTGATCTCTGTCCGGTCTTGTTGGAGGATTCCAGGAGACTGCTTTCAGCCTCAGGATATGTGTAAAAAGACTCAGGTGACGACAAGATAACGGTCTTGAAAGTTAACTGAAACAGAAGTTTGAGAGTCATACAGTTGTTCACACCTTCCCTTTTCACACATTGTTAATGAATAATGTTCCACATAGCAGCACTATTGACATTTTCCTGTATCTATCTTTTTATGTTCTTTCTAAGGACTGTTGAATTGTTTAGGAACATTAAAGTGTAAAGATATTTGTGTTGACCTGAAGATTAATGCTACTGACTTGTTGTAACTCCACATGGTTGACATTGTGGTTTTAGGAAATTTGTTTCTACCACTTCTGTTTGTATTGGTGTTAGAAGTTATTTGGGATGTAAAAAGAGCCTCTCAATGTTCGCCAGGCACTCTTCAAACATGAGTGTGAGCTTAGAGGTTAGTTTAGTTTAGCAAAGTTGAAATCTGTGCGAGGCTGAAAACCAGTCATAAATGGTTATGTCCTTTGAGCCAACAGGTAGAACTACATTAAAAACAATTACAAACAGATATTATTCAGCAGCGGAAATCACTACAAAGCCTCAGAAAGACTTCTAAAAACTATTGTCAGTGAAAACAGTTCGTTGCTGAATCCATTGATCTAAGTTAAATGTCACTTTTAAGTATTCTTTTGGCTTTAAAGGCCACTACAGTCGATGATCTGCCTCCATTTCGCCCAATCCATAACATCCTCCTCTGTAACACCAAACTTTAACCTGCTGCTTGCGTCTTAACCTTTCCACCAGCTTCACTGTTACACCTGTCTCCCTCTCATTCAAACGAATGTATTAAGTCTTGCTTCTACTGACTTTCACTCCCCTTCTATCCAGTTTATACCTCCACCTCTCCAGCCTCTCTTCCACCTGCTCCCAACTCTCACTGCATGTCACAATGTACTCTGCAAACATCATCAGATGACACTCCTACCTCACCTGTCAGCCACTCCATCCCCACTGCAAGCAAGTAGTAATCCCACCCCCACCTTGAACCCATCTGTCTTGCTGTCCTCATGCATGTCCTGCACCACCCTCACATACTTCTCTGCCACTCCTGATTTCCTCATGCAGTGCCACAGTTCGTCTCTTGATACCCCATCATATGTTTTCTGTAAATCCACAAAGACACAGTGAAGCTCCTTCCAACCTTTTCTATACGTATCCATCAACACTTTCAAAGCAGGTATCACATCGGTGGTGCTCTTTCTCAGCATGAAGCCATACAGTTGCTCACTGATCGTCACCCTCTTCTTAGCCTTGCTTAACAACTCTTTCCCCCAGTTTCATGGTATGACTCATCAACTTTATCCTTCTGTAGTTACTACAGATCGGCACATCACCCTGTGCTGTAAAAATAGGTACCATTACACTTCTCATGCACTCTGTAGGTATTCTCTCATTCTCCAGAATTGTTGAACACTCTGGTTGAAAAGTCTCATAGACATCTTCATACATCTACCTCTTCAAAGGACAACAAAAACCAAGATGCTGAAACACTGCAGCATTCTCTGAAAACTGCTGTGGTCTAATTAATCAAAATCTGAAAATCTTTTCTGGGAATCATGACATCATCCCAGCTAAAGAAGAGACAGATCATGTGACCTGTTATCAGTGAACAATTCAAAAGCATCTCTGATGGTACGACAGTACATAAGTGCACCCGTCTGAAGTGCTGCACATTTTTGAGTATATGTGCTAACGTCTACACATCTTTTTCAAAGGAGAGCTTTACATATTTCAGTAAGACAACATCAAATTATTTGGCATGTGATGTATGCTGGAAGGCTCTGTGGAAACATGCAACCACTGAATACATCTGGATAATTCTGAAACAAAGGAGTCCACAAACCATTTCAGACAGCTGGAGACCAGCAATTCTTTTCTCTTTTTCTTTTTAAATTAGTATCATATTTTTATAAAGGTAAAAAATATCTCTGTGTTGCCTTTAGTTATTAAATATAAGGTTGGATTTTAAAATAAGTTTTTTCAGATTACAGGTTTATTATATTACTATTATACTATTATTGCCTCCTTTGCCGCTAGAGGCCACTCGTCACATTAGGAACCTTTGGGGCTTCCGTCCCTTTTGTGTCACGTGACATATGTCAACAAGGAAGTGGGCTGTGTCTTTGAATACAAGGCGCCAGTAGCCGTTCCTAGTCAACAAGTGAAAGGTAATCAGCATTATAGGACATCCACACAACTTCTCTTTACATTTCTGTCTGATCTAACTGTCTGTACACACGTCTTTGAACCCGCAGAGCTCCCGTAGCTTGTTTGAAAAACTTTATTTGGGGTTGACTTTATCTTACACAGGCTAAATCGATTCCTGCTTTTCCCGACAGATCCCGAGGGATGCCCGCCACCGAGCCGGTCCGGTTGGGTCGGAAACGCGCCCTGCCCTCGTGCCCGAACCCGCTGTTCCTCAAGTGGCTCACCGAGCTCCGGGACGAGGCGAAGGAGAAAGGACTGAAGATCCAGTACACCTACCAGAAGGTACAGAGGATGTAGCGGTTAGCAGGGGTTAGCACTCTCGCCTTAAAGCAAGAGGGATCCTAGTTGGCTTCTGGGTGGAAGCCTACCCCAGCTATCACTGGGTACATCCTGGGCCGACAGTCCACCACAGGGCTAACACACAGATACAGGCACACCCAAGGTCAATTTAGAAACACCAGTTAATCTGAAATGCATGCATGGACTGTGGGAGGATGCTGGAGTACCCAGAGAGAAGCATGCAGGCACAGACGACATATAAAGAGGCTCTAGCTGGCTGGCAGGTTCAAACCACAAACCTTCTTGCTGTGAGGTGCACAAACCACCACTGTGGACAAATATAACAAATAAAATCCTTCCATGTGTCTACAAGCTTTCCGTTTTTGATGGACAATGTGGAATTAAAAGGGATATAAATCACCAGGGAAGCAGAAATGGCTAATTTCTATTTATTTTTGTGTGCTGCTGTCTTTTTTAAGGCCATCAACTCACTGAATAAATATCCACTGCCACTCAAGAACGCCAAAGAGGCAAAGATCCTCCAAAACTTCGGAGACGGCATCTGTAAGATACTGGATGAAAAGCTGCAACGGTATTATAGAGAGAACGGTAAGAAGCAAACGCATGGGTGGATAAGATGATCCAAAACACACGCTAATATGTTTACAACACAGAACTAGACTAGATTTCACTGTATGTGTACTTGTGTGTTACTTTTCTTCACTGTTTCAATTCAGTTCTTTATACAGCATCAATTAACAACAGCCGCCGCTTCAATGCACTTTAAAAGTGATAGGGAGGAACAATCAGGCAATACCCTATGAGCAAGCACTTGGCAACTGTGGTCAAGAAGAGCTCCCTTTTAACAGGAAGAAACCTCCGACAGAACCAGGGTCAGGAAAGGGCAGCCATCTGACATTAGCAACACAAAGAGACCAAGGACTAACTATGAGGGAGACGAGACAAAAGTTTCAGAAATGCAGTTGTGGCATTTAGAAACATCAGAAGTGAAAAGAGAGGAGTGGAGAAGAAAGGCTCAGTGCATCATGGGAAGTCCCAGAGTAGCCTTTCTTTAGAAGTTTTTAGAAGCACTATTAAAGGATGATTCAGGGTCACCTGATCGAGCCCTAACTATTTGCTTTATCAAACAGGAAGGTTTTAAGCCTAAACTAATAATTAGATAGGGTGTCTGTCTAATTAGAAGAGGGGTCTGAAAGCTGAAGGCTCTGCCTCCCATTCTACTTTTAAATCCTATCCTAGGAACCACAAGTAAGCCGGCAGTCTGAGAGAGAAGTGCTCTTTTCAGATATAATGGAGCCTGATCATTCTGGCTTTTGTATGTCCTCAATGATCAGGCAATCAAACAAAATGAGCTTGTGATTAAAAAGTAGAATTAAGAGCAAAACTGTAGAAAATCATACAAAAAATGCATCATTGCAAAGTTTGCTTTGCAAATCTGGGAGTTTGTATTCATGTAATTGTTGACCTCTCAATAAACTTATGTTGTGTTCAATGTCTGTAGTTTTGCATCAAATCATAAAACATTAAAGGAACAAAGATTTAGTCTGTTTAAAGTGGAGGAAGTGAGCTTTTAATGGACGCTTAACCCCAGATCACTGAAAGCAGTTTTGTAACATTATCATTAATGTCAGGTATGTTTTACCCTGTAAAACAAACAAACATCAACATATATTGAGCTGAAAGAATACATGGCAAACTGAAGCAATCCTCTTTTATTTCTCACTATACAGCATCTCACTAAACAAAGAAGGTATCGTGGTGGGACTCTGTAAAGAGATTCTGAGATTAGTAAAACTAGGGAGTTGTTAACAAAAAAGGTAAATAAAAAAATAATCAGTGGAACAGGTAACGTGTTCTTCGGTCAGACCATTGCAGAGACGTGTGAGCCTTGTCGAGTGACCTCTAAATGATATTTACTCTGTGAAAATCAGGTATCACAAACCAACCAGTTTACCCAGCTCCCGTGTCTTCACCTGTTCCTCTGCTCCAGGTGCTGACGCTTCTATACACGCTCTCCCCAAAGGAGCGCCCCCTCCTGGCCGATCAGACAATAACATCATCCTGGCTCCATCCAAAAAGGTAAAGTTGGAAACAAAGAGGAGATTCATGGAAATAAATATTTTCCTTCACACCAATAAATGCTTTTTGTGATTACAGTAAAAGTAGAAGCATCAGAAACGACAACAAAAAAAACCTCAGCCAGATTTTTGCAGTATGAAGGGATGTTTCCATTGTCATTACAGTGTGTAACTATTTTTTCCTCATAGAAAAATGCTGCAGGTGATCAAGGAAAGGATGGAGGAGGAGATGGAGGGAGGAAGAAGAAGAGGGAGTATGTCCCCCAGAAGAGATCCGGGGGCTATGCTGTGCTGCTGACTCTTTACAAAGAAACTCAGGTAGATTTTTCCTCTTTCTTCCAACTACTGCAGCATCAGTCAGTGTTAAACCGGTGTTTCATTACCGCCGTGTGCTTTCTGTCTAGGTCCCTGGTAGTAAAGGTTACATGTTTAAGATGGAGCTGCAGGCAGAAGCTCAGCATCTCTGTGACAAATCGTTCACTGCGGTGAGTGCTTTCACTTCGATCTCATGTGTTCTTCATCCGTCTGCATGCACGCCGTCTTCTTGTGAAGCGTCCATCCTTCATTTTCTCTGTCTGCAGCCTGATTTAGGCAGTAAGTACACCGCCTGGAGCTCAGTCAGCACTCTGATCCAGAAGAACCTGGTGATAAAGACTCACAATCCTGCAAGGTACGGCTGCTTGAAGCGTGTCAGTGCTTTTACTGTAACCTCACGTCTTTTCTTTTAGTCTTGTAGAAGTCGGCTTATTTTCGTATTGAGTGTTTTAAGTGCAGCTAATTTAGGTAGTAAAATGTGTTTTTTAGAAATTAAGCTTTTGACTTATTTGGACAGGATTAGAATGAATGCATCAGAGGGACAGCTCAGGCTGAAGTCTCAGGCTTGAAGACAAAGAGGTGGGGCTGAGATGGATAGTAGATGCTGAATGTGGAGCTGGCAGGCAGGAGGAAAGGTGGCCACAGAAGTGCTTCATGGATGTAGTGTAGGAGGACCTGCAGAGGGTTTTGGAGGAGGATGATAGGGTGAGGTGGAAGCAGATGATCTGCTTTGGTAAGAAGAAAAAGAATCGGTGTAATTTTGACTGAAATTAGGATCAACTTCGTAATCAGACTGTAAACAAATCAAGTAATTTCTAGTCTCTCTCTCTTCTGCTGTATTTGACAAAGATGCTTCTTGGCTGCTTTTTGTTGTCGCACTTGCTGCTAAAACTTAACAGTTGTTGCTGTTTCAGCTCTACTTTATTTAAACTCTGCCAACGACCACAAAGATGTAATCCACCATGCAGTATTTTGTCTTTGCCTGCGTATAACCCAACTTTGTGCTTCTTTCAGGTATTCTCTGACAGAAGGAGGTCTGACTTTGGCCGAGCGACTGGCATCTGCAGAGCAGACGAACACAGACGGGGACAGAGAGGCGGTTAGGAGTGAGTTAGAGGCGACTGAGGAAGACGATCCCGTCGTAGACATCACTGGTAGTGATGAAGATGAAGAAGAGAAGGAGGAGAACAGAATACAGTGAGTGGAAACTAAAAGATTGAATCCTCATCTCCTTATTTTTTTCCTGTTTTATTTCCCTCTTGGAATAAAGCATTCCTCTTCTTTTCACAGCCCTGCAGAGAGACAACCCACCGTCACTGAGGTTAGCTGCGACGTGGACGACGTGCGTTCATCGGGGAAACCACAGGATTCACAGACGACGATGACGACAAGCAGAAAGCCGAACGCAGAATGTCTCCTACCCGGAACGTATGAAATTATGCTCTGTGTTGACTTCATCGAGACCACTGGGTAAGAGATCTGCCTTCTAACATGTAAGAAACACGCTACTGATGTTACTGATGAATTTAAATATATTAAAAGCCGTGCACGTATAAATATGTGTATTAATATCAGCAGTATTTATCACAGTCATTCACATTTACTGACCTAACTGTTGTTACTGTGTTCTCATGCGATAACTGCTCTTACAACCATGTGGTGCTCCATTCAGTCCTCGAGGTTTCTTCCTGTTAAAAGGGAGTTCTTCTTCCCACTGTCGCCATGTGGTTTCTCATAGGGGATCGTCTGATTGTTGGGTTTTCACCGTATTATTGTAGGATCTTTATCTTACCATGTGAAGCACCTCAATAAATATAATTGAATTGTGTATGTATTTATTTGTTATGTAGTGGGAGTCACCATCGTAAGCAGGAGCTGGTGAAAGAGCTTCAGAGAAATGGAGTCAACTTTGACATCAGGAAACTAAACGTCGGGGACTTCCTGTGGGTGACTCGGGAAAAGGTGGCACCTGTTGCAGGTAACACATACAGGAGGAGAGAGTGGGAGTGTTGATGTTTGATGGGAGGGATCCCGCGCCACGCCTGTTTAACGTACAGGGAGGATTGTTCTGTCTCAGGTCAGTTGCGAGCGCCTGTAGGCAGGGAGCTGGTCCTTGACTACATAGTGGAGAGGAAGAGGATGGACGACCTGTGCGGCAGCATCATCGACGGACGCTTCAGGGAACAGAAGGTCGGTGTGCAGCCCGGTTTTGTCCAATACAGTTATTAATCGGTGAGGTGGCACGCCGCCTTCAAAATTACAGGTGATGATTTGTGCTTTTTACAAGCAAGATGAACCCAAACTGAGTTCAATTTATATGAGTATGAACTGGAAAACATAAAGTAGTGACATCATCAGAACCCGGTGCTTGTTCCTCGTCTCGCGTCGGCCTGCAGCACCTCCTGCTTTTGTTCATTCGTCTGTTTTCTTCCCTCCGTCAGTTCCGACTGAAGAGGTGCGGTCTTCATAAGCCCATCTATTTAGTGGAGGAGTGTGGATCAGCTGCTTCTCACCTGAGCTTACCTGAAACTACACTGCAGCAGGCCATAGTCAACACACAGGTAGAGTGCACACGTGGGGCCACATGAGTCACTCTCAAACTGAAACAAATGTTGTGGTGTCCTGCTGGACGCAGCCATCAGAAGATGGTGCGCTGTGGCACCTGTGTAGCATCTCGACCATACTAAGGAGCCGAAATTGTGCCAAGAAAATATCCCCACACCCTTACATCATCAGCCCGAAACTTTGGCGAGAACGATCCATGCTTTCCTGTTGTTTACTTTAAATTTTTATCTTTCCATCAGAAAGTTGCAGCAGAAATTGAGAGACGTCAGACCAGTCGAGCAGGTGTAGCTAGTGAGGCGACCAGTGACAGTAGATTTATATTTTGTCTAATTTTTGTTTCCTTGCCGATATTTGAGTTTCATTAATTTTTTTTACCATTCGTATCATGATTAGATGTAATCACAGCATTGCTCGTCTGGCTCTGAGCTATTAATGACCAGCGCCATAACAAATAAACACACAAAACACACAACATAGTTATTTTCTAACCTCGACTTTTAACTAAAAAATAACCATGTTTTATGTGTATGGTATGTGTGTGTGTGTGTGTGTGTGTGTGTGTGTGTGTTGTGTGTGTGTGTGTGTGTGTGTGTGTGTGTGTGTGTGTGTGTGTGTGTGTGTGTGTGTTAGGTGGTTGACGGTTTCTTTGTGAAGAGAGTGCAGGATGTGAGGGAGTCGGCGGCGTACCTCACCATCATGACACGATTCCTGACTAAACTGTACCAGGTAAACACAAAAAGATACATGTTCCAATTTTACATTGTGGAGTTATGTAAGGGCGACATGAGAGAGCCCAATATTTTAATCTGGGCTTCACACAGCTGAACACTCAAGGCGTGAAAACTCTAACACACTGGGTGTGAGTGGAGCCACCTAGTGGTGCTTCCCCCTCCCAACACCCAGTGGGGTCTCCTATTAGTCCAGGACCCTGGGCTTAAGCAAACAGCTGAACCTGGGAGGCAGAGAACTGGTAGAGGAAGCTCTGTCCTGAGAATGAGGCTGGTGTGGGCGGTCAGGAAAGGCTGAAGAAAACTCAAGCTCTGTCGGTTGAGCGGCGCTCTTAGGGGGAAAACCCTTAACCCTGTGGAAGGTGGGCGGCTGCGGCGGGGGAGCTGGGCTGTCACTACTTGATTGTCCGCAATAATGTGTGCGGGTTTAAGCGTATCAACACATATAGTCTCCCTATGTCGAGTCTCAGACGCATGGTGTCCTATGGGCATCATGCCTGACGAAAACAAACTTTCTAAAGTTTCTGAAGTCTTTTGGGCAAAGGTGCACCAGACCAGGAGCACGAAGCAAGTCCACTTGAATCAAAGCACTGGGCACCAAGATCCTCCTTAACTGCAGAGCGCAGCCCCAGCAAAAGCCCACTGGAGGTGGTCCAACCCAGTTGCCATCTGTTAGAGAAGCATGGAGCACAGCCTTAAGCGACCTGTGAAACTGCTCGCACATCCTGTTAGCTTGTGGGTCATCTGCAGTGGTGCGGTGGATCCTGACCCCCCGTCAGTCATGGCAGACTAAAGCTCTGTAATGAACTGAAACGCGAAACCCAATTTGTCAAAAATGGCCTGGACACCACCGCCGCAGTTGTGGATGGCAAGGGGACCACCTCTGGCCACTGGGTGGTGCAGTCAACCACAGTCAAAAGGTGCATGAAACCTTGCAAGTGTTTCATCCTCGTTTCCCACTGTGTCGATGCTGGTAAGATTTACATCTGAATATATGCTGTCACATTGAGATTAGGCAGCACCAGTTTCCACCTGTGCGCACGTCTCTACTGCATGACAACACTTGTTAGTTGGGCCATGAGGATCATGTTACTGTTAACATAACATAAAATCAGCCTTACATCTTTCTTAACTGTAACTTTTGCTTTTTTCCTGTTTAAACCTTTTTCAGAACCGAACGCTGATCTGTCGCTCCAGAGAGCTGGAGGGCGATGGAGGCAGTGACGAAGAGGAGAGAGGGCTCCCCTCCTGCTCCCTTATGTCTTTTGCAGAGTTCAACCACGGTGCAGTCAAAAACAAGGTGTGAATCTGCTTCAAAAGCCTGAATTAAACTGGTTGTCTTGGTGATCGTCTCTAATCTCTTTCTTGCCCTGTAGTGTCAGACGGTGAGAGAAGTGTTTGCCAGACAGCTGATGCAGATCAGCGGATTGTCTGGAGACAAAGCAGCTGCTATACTGGAACACTACAGCACGCCACACAGGTAGCTGGTAGTACAGCATACTGCATACTCCACAGCTCACCGGGGTTCCTGATTTGCTTAAGTTAACAGCCAAGAGAGAGACGAAAAATAAAGACCAGGAGGGATTATGATCTCCAATAGTCACAGTTCCTTATCTGTTGTCGCTGCCTGTTAGATTAGGGCTATTTCCTCCTGTGCGTCATAAAGAAGTGTACAATCAAATCAACAAGCAGCTTTGATCCGTTAACATTTTAAATGATGGCCAGTGTGGTCGTCTGCCACCAGGTGGAGCTGTTGTAGAGAATTCTGTTAATTTGTTTGTTATTAGTTATTTTGAACGTAAAAGAACGAAATCATGGAGACAAGCGGCAGAAATGAGCTTTCTCCAAAGGGTGGCTGGGCTTTCTCTTAGAGATGGGGTGAGGAGTTCAGTCATTTGGGAAGGGCTCAGAACGGGTGGACGGATGGATGATCTATTGTTTTGTTATCATTTCAAGTTTAAATTTTTGTTGAGGTAGTTGCCACATTTTAATAATACGTCTTTTGCATTAATGCATTTTCATATCATATCGTTTAGTGTGTGGCTTGTTTATCTTCTTCTTTGTCTGGAGTGTATTGTGCACATCTGTAATCGGCACAGATTTAATTGCTCTCTGATCAGCAGGCAGCTTGTTCCAAAAAAACACACTAACTGAAGGCACCCTCAGGATATGTGGATCTGATCGCAGGAATATTTAAAAGATCTGCACCTAATGTTTAAAAAAAATCAGTATGGCAGTAGGTCATTAGATGCTGACTGAATAGCATGGCCCCAGAACAAAATAACGAAATATGTCAGAGCAGTAAAAAGGGCATAAGACACGCTGTGTCTCCATACTAATGTAAGATATGAAGGATTATTTATTAAATCTTTGTCTTTTCTGTCATTTTCAGTCTTCTGACAGCATATGAACAGTGTGCAAGTGAAGCAGAGAAAGAGAAACTCCTCTCCTCGATCCGATACGGGAAGCTCAAAAGGTTTGTAAATACAGTTTCACATTTCTTCCTGGCTTCTTCCAGTGGTGTTTGTAGTATTTGAGTGTGACCAGAGATGCCAGGCCTGAGGAAGGGGCTCGTAGGCAGAAGTACCTTGGGTGTGTGTGTGAATGCTTCATGCTCTCTCCTGTTGGCTTGTTTTTCAGGAACCTGGGTCCAGCTTTGAGCAGAACAGTTTATCAGCTCTACTGTACACAAGGAGCTCTGACATGAAGGCGGCCCTGGAGGTGGTCCCAAAGTATACTCAACAATGTGAATTATACAGTCATTAACTTTTAGGTCCTCCTTTACTTGAACAGCATCATTTTGAGTATGATTATGTAAAAGTGTATATAAAAGTCAAGACACTGCTATATTTTGATATTAATAAAAGATTCCTGTTTGAAGAAGTTCACACGGCCCATTAGTGCACAAATAAAGCTTATTTTAAATAACTTTTTCTAGTCAGAATCCAAATCCAGTGCCCAGACGCTGAAGTCTTAAAGCTGTAAGCCAGCTCGCACCTTTCCAGCTTGTCCAGCGTTACTGCTCATTCGTGCACACTAATGGGAGTGGAGCCTTGTACCCAGGAGGTCTTCAGGAGCTGCTATTACCTGATAAGAGCTTTTAACACATCAAACATGAAGAGCCAAAGTTTAACCTTGATTTGAAAACTGCATTTCTGAGCATGGTAAGTATTAGATTGCTACACGGCCACAGGTTTTATCGATGAGTTTACTCGCTGCTGGTGAAATTAAACGATTAAAACTCATATCTTTGTACAGCTGTCTAATATGGGCGATGAGGTCTTTTTTTTCTTATCGTCTTTACCTTGTTTTGAATTCGCGCTATTTAAATGAAATTAAATGATTGAATTTCTTAAGGACGTAACTACGGATACCGCTCATCAACTCTAGTTTTTTTAGGCCTGTTGCTTCTTTGGTCCTTCACTTACCAAGTTTTCTCAAATTTTTTTTAAGGACACACCAATGCTGTCACATGCTACGTCAACTAAGGGAATCAGCTTGGGAGTCAACATGTTGGTGCAAGAATACTTTTATTCCTGGTAAACTGTGATCCTAAAGATACTACTTTTTTTTTTTTTTTTTCTCCATGGACCTCCGGCCCAAAAACAAAACACGATGTGACATCGCTCTGTCTTGTGACAATGGAGTTTAATCCCAGAAAACAATGAATATCATATTTCAGTGTCAGACCCATAGAATCGATCTCTGACCTTCACCCACTTTACAGAAAGAAGTCAATCAGTGATCCAAGAGGCAGAGACAGACTGCTGCATGCCGACTGAAGCACTGTTAGACCAGAGCGCAGCACGGGAACTGTTTGTGGCACGATCACAGTGAAGAATAATTCAGGGCTGGATTACTTTCTCAGTTTAATTCTGAAATAAATATACAGACAACAAAAACCCCGGTATGTTTAGTGACACCTGACAATCCCCCAGCAATGACGAGAAGAAACTAATGGCAGCATAGAAGGGAGAGTTTTAAAAAAGAAGAGGGGAGGGCACGCTGTCTTTATCTCCTGAACAGGTCAAGATTTTTATTTTCACGGTTAGACTTAATGCAGATATGTGTTAGCTTCTAAACTCTGCTCAACTCCTTACTTCTTCAATCAAAAACCCAAGCCGTCAGTTTAATGTTAAGGATGCTACATCACCTTAAAATTGCAGTCACACAGATTGCATTCATAAGATTGAGGATGGTAGAAAAGATTGCACAGCCAATCAAAAATCAGGAGTGCATGATTGACGTTTACTTTTTTACTCCCACCCACTCTCGTCACCGCTATGGTCCCTAACTTGACAAGTTGTGTTATTTACAAAAACAAAAACTAAACAGGAATAGAAAAGTCCAATGAGTCAAACTGGGTTCCTCCTGGAACATAGTAACAAAGTGCTATTTCCTTTTCTTTTTAAAGAAAAGATGCTTTTTTTCTTCAAGGGTAGTCTTAAAGCAATGCTTGCAGAGTGCACGAACGCTTTGGAAAACAGAACTCTACTCTTTCCTCCCGTTTGGGGTGGCTGTGAAGAAGTTCCCTCTTAGCCAAACTAATTCGTTTAAACAACTTGCATGTTTGGGGCAGAGTATTGGGGATCGTGTAGTTTTGCACAGCCCTACATATAAGCTCTGTGAATCTTTCCTCCAAATGTGCAATCAGAAAGCAGCCCAACAGCTGCTTCAATGCACTGACACACAAGTATTGCTCCAAGGCAGCCCTGAACAAAAAAGATAGAAACTTTTCCTCTGAGCCCCACACCCTTGTTTTTTTTACACCTAAATGATGAAGAGAGAATTGAAAGGACAGGGTTACATTGATCCCTGTATGGAGCCTCTCCAATGGTCCCCGTCACAAACCCAAAAAGTGTTGATTTTGTTTTTGACATCCTCTGAACATAAAGCAAAGATCTACAGCAGTTCAGAGCGAACATTTAAAGTCTACACACATCCAGTTCTCACTGATGTCAGCCTGAAGTTTAGATCCAATAGAGTCTTGGATGTTTCCTCACCACGGATACAACTAGGAGTCAGCAACAACAGTGTGGCTCCAGCGAGAGGTGAAAAACAAAGCTGTCCCTTCGTGGGTTCCACGATTTCACCCTTTAAAGGCAGCAAGTCAGGAGGACAGCGGGGATCTTGGATCCATCGCCGTTTTAGTTCAGGTGGATTGCCCGTGCTGGGCATGCTGATGCACAGTTCAGGGTGGGGGGGCCAAAATCCTTCAGTGGAGAGTGGATTTAAAACAAAACAAAAGAAACAGTCTCTGAAGCGGTTTTGGCTTTTTTAGTTCGGCACCCACGACTGCTCATGCTTTGACCCGCCATTAGTCCGGCATGTCGATGCAGAGTTTGGGTGGCGGGACGAAGTATTTCCCGGGGCTCTGCGTGATCACCACGCCGGTCTTCTTGTGGAACATGGGGGCAATCTTTGGCGGCGGTTCAGGGACGGGCAGATCCTCGGCCGCCTCGGGGTCTTCACTACGTTGAAGGTCATAGGACACGTTGCCGTACTCTCGCAGGAAGGGAAGGAGCTCCAGCAGAAAGTGGCAGAAGTCCTTCCGGATGCCGAACCACCCTGATCGGAAATAAGGACAGAGCAGAAGAAAGAAACAATGAAAAGCTTTTGATTTGCAGACAAAGTTTAATATTATTAAAATATGACCACATAAATAATTAAAAGGAAATTTACCCTCCTCTCATTTACTCTCAGGTCAATCAAAGAGTCAAAATATAATCTTTTCATTTATTTTTCCTCACATTTTACAGACCAAATGATTTACAGAACCAGCAGCTTCAGAGAACATTATTTGCTGGAGTCCGAGAAATGACAAACATCGAAAGATAAAAGCTTTAATGAAGCTATATTAAGGGAAAGTTGTGCGATTTCTGAAACAACAGCAGCAGCAGGGACCACAAGTCCAGCTGCAGATACTCACAGTGGTTTCCTCCCTTTTGGCCGAAGGTGGTGGCCATGAGTGTGAGCAGGGAGAGCCACAGAGGGACGAACACGCACACGTAGCTCAGGCTGTTGTGACCGTCTAGCTTGTGCACCAGAAGGATCTGTAAAGACATGTGAATGTTATCAGACATCCTGCTGCTGGGAGGAAAAAACATGCATGTGTGCAGCGATTTTTGACTCTACCAACCAGACACCGCAGGAGCGTCTGTCTTTATGGTCTAAGTGCCTGCGCTGAGCGTGGTTCACAGCCCACTTTAGACTGTTCAACTGTGCTTTAGTTCGCAAGGCTTTTTATCCGCCATTCTCTCCAGCTCGCTTTACAATATATTTTAGTTTGAATTTATTAAAAACAAGAAAGAAGAAAAGAAAGAAGACGAGCATGAGCCAAAGACTGTAACAGTCTAACGAGCTTACAAAGAAAAGCGTCTGGACTTCTTTAAGTTGCTTGAAGACGTTTCACCTCTCATCCGAGAAGCTTTTTCAGTTCTGGGATCAAATGATGGAGAGTCCCAGATTTAAGCCCTGTGGGAGTTTCCCCCCCGAGAGGGACAAAAGGACCCCCTGATGATCCTCTACCTAATCACATAAGCCTAGATGTGTAGGTCACAATCAGCCAGGGTTTCAGGTGAGCTCACTGGGAAACCTAGCCCACACTATCATGTGATTTCCTGAGGTCAGATGGCCCAGGATGTGAGTTGGCGTTAAGGGATCTCAAAACTGGATTATAGATGGCAGACAGCTGGTGTCGTAAACCCCTGCCTCTGTTCAAAGATGGTCGCTCACAGTGGACATAGATGTCTTCTTTCACTCCTCTTTCAAACCATCTGTCCTCTCTGTCCAAAATGTGAACATTGGCATCCTTGAAAGAGTGTCCTTTGTCCTTTAGATGCAGATGGACTGCTGAGTCTTGGCCTTTACATTGGAGACCAAACAGCTAGCCATTTTAAACAACACGAGATGATGCAGACTTCACGCCTCACCTCAAATGTGAGAAGCGGTACGACGATAGTCATCCAGCTGATCGCCATGGTGATGTGAGTTCGCCGCTGCTCGGCGATGATGTCGATGGAGCGGAGAAAGAGGACTGACCAGATGATGTAGTAAAGGACAACAAGGCACAGGAAGGACATGAGGATCCACAGTGGGACACACACCACCTGCAGCACACAAACACAGGCAGGGTGTCATTAAAGCAAGTTCAAAGAGGGCTTCAGGACCAGCACAGATTGTGGTCACAATGGAAGCACAATAAGTGGCATGTTTTGTGTGCCTCACCAGCCAAGGCCAGTTGATGATCTTGTCCAGCTTCAGAGCGATGAAGATGAACTGCAGAATATTTACTGAACACAACACCTCCAGCTGAGGAGAGGAAGACAGGGAGAAACAATCAGGACAGAAGTTCAGGACTGTACTTTGATTAAACTGCCTATTCTGTTACACGCATCCTACATATGAACACTCTCAGTGGGATTTAAAGCCATGCAGAAAATGCAACAAAAACAAGCAGTGTTGTTGGAGACCAAGAGTTACGCCGGCATTGGGAGAACATGCAAAAGCTTCACAGCTGGCCAGTGGATTCAAACCCCAAGACCTTCACACGTCATGAACACCTTCAACTCACAGAAAGCACTACCCTTAAGACCATTTCTTGCTTTTTCATACACGATGTTTAAAAAAGTGCAACTTTGCCTGAGTTGAGTCTGATAATGCAAGAACAGTATGCAGAAGACTTCAGACACGGATCAGGCTTTAATTCAAACGACTGACTAAAGATTGATGAATAAAACATTTGAGGATAACAAAAGTACAAACCCCTCACTGTTGTATCTTTTGACACTGAATCTTGACAAACAGCTGGAAAAGTGTAGTTTTGTGATATTTTACGATCATAGTTTCTGAATTTCCTCATAAAAATCAGACGCCTTACCTCAAGAGAGCGGTCGTGTCTAAACCCCCAGACGCACGCTGCTACGGAAACGGGTGACACAAAGAAGAGTGGCATGAAGACGAGAAGCCAGAAGTAGTTTCCTCTCGCTACCCGATCGCACACCAGCACCTCGAACATCAACAGCAGGACGTGGAGCCCCACCGCTATCAGCATGGCCTTGAACTCCACACACGTCTCCCCCTCAGCCCTGACAGAGGTCATCATAAAGGTTAAAACACTTCAGGTGCCCTGATCTCAGCATTCAAGCTGAACCTGGGCTGCTGCTATCACCATACGTAAACGTATGTTCCCAATCTTCTCCTAGATGAATTCATTAACATTCCCCAGGGTAATGGAAATGTCAACATCCTTATAGGGTGTACAAATCATTAATATTGGCAGTTACATTGAGCACCATGTGACAAACTTATGACTGTGTTCACATGCCACGTTCGTTAAGCTATGAATTTTAACCATCAGCCCAAATTTTAATATTTGTAGTACAGACCAGCGACCGCTGATTATATCTGTCAAATGATCAAAGTAAGCCACTGATTTAAGTCTAAAACAAGACGACAACAATAAGAAGATGAAGTCTGGGTGAGCATCATCATATTTATTTTGTCTAACAAATTCATCACTCTAAAAATCAGTACTGCTCTGGTAAATGTAACAGTATACAGTTGTTTACCTAACACCAATGCAAAGAGCTGTGCACAGTTCAGGGTCTGCTAGTTACTTTAAACCACAGACAGCAAGAATAGATGGACAGAGCTTCTCTCTGAGAAAGTGAAGCCGACCCTGCATTCTTTTCACTGTCCAGCAGGCAACAACTCCTCTGCTTGCAAAAAACATTTCTGATGCTACAGGAGACTTTGGGAAAACTGCCCCGCTTCCCTCGCTGTTACCCCAGTAAACACTTCCATTATTTACTTTACAGGTTCAATCACTACACTCAGGTCAGACTGAATAAAAAATGAATTGTAAAAATGACTACGAAAATAAAACAGAGCCTGAGGAAAAGCTTCACAAGGGGAATTCACTAAGCAATAGTGAACGTCTATCTTTTTACAGACAGTCTACACTCTAACTACCAATTCACATACAAGTGAGAGAGTCTAACCTGTACTGAGGGTTGTGGGCCCAGACTCCGGTGCCCACGGACGCCCCGATGATGACCAACAGCTTCCACAGCCATATTGGCGTAAACACAGCCCAGTAGCTCCACTGGATAACTCCATCCAGCCTCAAGGACAGCAACACGGAGAAGAGCAGCAGGCAAGAATAGATTAGGAACTTGCTGCAACAGAAGAGAGGAAAAATGAAAGACATGATGATGAAAAAAGATGCAGCTTTGCAGTTTTTATAGTTAAAGGCAAATATGGAAAGCTCATTTTCCCCACTTGAAAATTTATTATAAGATGCTTAACAACTGTATTAGACAGGTTTATACCACAGCTGCCATAACCCAATGGTAATTACAAAAATCCTTTTTAAAACTTTGTGTAATGGTTAACGCTTAGAGCAGAGGTGTCGAACTCCAGGCCTCGAGGGCCGGTGTCCTGCAGGTTTCAGGTGTGTCCTTGATCCAACACAGCTGATTTAAATGGCTAAATGACCTCCTCAACATGTCCTGAAGTTCTCCAGAGGCCTGATAATGAACTAATCATTTGATTCAGGTGTGTTGACCCAAGGTGAGCTCTAGAGCCTGCAGACTCTGGCCCTAGCGGCCTGGAGTCAGAAACCCCTGCCTTAGAGCTTAGAATAGTTTTTGACAGATTTCTAAAACTTTGTTTTCTTGTTTTCTGACAGGTAGTTTGATAGATATGTTGAGTGCAGCATGTAGGATATTGAGTCTTAGCTGTCAGCAATCATGTGGACAAACTTGCTCCAATTTAAGAAAAGCAAACCAACATAAGAACAACTTTAACAAATACAATTTTGGTTACATTTTAGAACAGTATTTCTTGTGTACCCATACCTACTATATGTGCACAAATGCCAAATAACTCTATTTTAATCATTTTTTATTTTCGCTTTGTTGTTGTTTTTACCGAAAAGTGGAAATTGAAACAAAAGGAAACATGACACAACTAGAGCCACAATCCACGGTAGACAACACTAAATTGTCTTTAACTAGCAAATCATCGGTGGTAACAGCTAGCCTGCTAGCCGGGCCTTGGTTAGGTTTTAGTTAGCATTAGTTACTTTATTGAGAGGTATCCCTGTAGGTTAACCAGAAACCAGAGAACGTGATTTCCACACGCATAATGAGTCTGCTTTTTACTTTTTCTTTTCCAAACAGCAGAGAGACGATCTCACCGAACACTTAATCCATGCTAACTAGCTACGGTGCTAGCTGAGACGCAGCTACGTTACCTGGGGTTGAAGTCCTGAAAGAGCCCTCGTAAATTCATGGTGCACAAAACAATGCGATACTGGCTAACATTGGCTTCCCCTCGGTGTCCGCTCCTTCACCTCCTAATCCGAACGCTACACATAGTAATATCAACGGTAACTGAGCTTTATGCCTTGGCTTCATCACAACCTCTTTGCCATACCACCCTGTTTTGTTATTTTTTCTTAACGTTCCGCCGGAAATCATGTGATTTAATTTTATCGGCCGGATCATCGCCACCTAATGACCTGGAAGAAAAACTACAGAGACTAAACTAGTAATAGCATCACTGCTCTTTATACTATTACTAATTGTATTATTATTCAAGGTCTCTGCTAAAGTGATTTCCGGTATTTGTTTTTATGTAAGTTTTTTTTTCGTCTAAGTTTCTTGAGGCTTCACGTGCACACAGCCCCTCCCTGCTGGTCACAAATCTTTATTGTCACTTAGTGACGCCCTCTTCTTTAAATAAATCCAATCAGACAGGAGACGTTTATGTAAAACTTTTGCAGTGTTTTCAAATGATGACACAGTGATTGTGCTCCTGAAAACTTTAGTCAGTCTTATTAAGAAACAATATATTTTTTTCCACTGTGCTTGGACTCAGTGAGTTTCCCCCCCTTTTTTTCATAATAACCCCTCCAGCTTCAGAAAAAAACACTTTCACATGGCACTGAGGAGGCAGGGGTGCACAAGTATCCGACAGCAAGCCTGTAAAGGTTTGGCTATATGCACCTCTATAGATGTTATCCATATATCAGGTGTTGATGCACCCAATTTTTTAGTAATATCAAGCCAGCACTAAAAAATATAACACTCTGCACACATGGCGAAATAAAAAAAGGTTTTTTTTAATTTCGTGTAAGACTTACGAGATGTGAAAGATATTTTTTTGTTTTTTTGTTTTAATTTTACACTGATTGGTAGCTTACATCAAATTGTCTATTTGATTTAATTATGTTCACCATAGAAATGTTAAATTATTTTGTTCAAATTAGAAGTTTCAATCTTGTAAATCTAACAACCACCCAATTTCATTTTTTTTGAGTGCAGATGTTTGATTAGTACACTCTGGAAAAAGCATGAAGATAAGTGCATTAACCCAGTGAAACATCAAAAATTTGTTTTACATTTTTGGTGATAATATATAATTTTTTTCGTAACACTACAGATTTCTGACTTTTTTGTGTGAAAAAAGTAGCTTCCCTGCTGCCCTCATGCCACCCTAAGAACATTTCTTTAGGTCTGCCCCTGAGAAAGTTGTTAAAAATAGGTGATAAAATGTTGTTTTACAAAATATAGCGTCATTTATCATTTGCAGTAAACTTTTGCCAGCGTGGGAACAATCCCTGCAAGGTGCTTTGTTGTGCAGCAATAAGCACAACAAAGTGGAAAATAAAAATCCAATGTAAATTTCAGTCAGTGAAAGTCTGTACTCTGTGTTTCAGTTTTAGTCAGAAAACTGAACAGTATCTGTTATGATGGAAACTATTACTGTATCTATTGAGGAGATTCTTCAAAGTGGTTAAAAAAAACAATAATTCAGGTATTCAGTCACTGCAGCTTGCAGAGAATCTTCTCAAGTGTTCTTCAAACTATCCCACCATTAATATTTCTCTTAAGATTCTCTTACCCACTGGATAACTGCTCACATCCCTCTTAACATGGAATTCATTGTTAAGTTACTCAGAGATCTTCTGCTTTCCAGTTACTGAGCGCACTGTGCCCCAGGGGTCAGTTTCTGGGACCTGATGCTTCATTTATGTTCGACAGGATGCACATTTGAGGTTGAGGGTCTCGTAAATTGTTTTATTTAGGTACTGATCATAGTATTTTAAGACTTTTTTTTGTGGTTGATTGTAGACAAGACAGCAGAATCCAGGTTCAGGAAGAATAGAAACAGGATTTTAGCATTTCACTACCTTAACTTTCCCTTGTTTTTGGTTTGTCTAGGATTATCGCCATGGAAGAGGAGCTGCAACAACTTAGAAACTTGGCGGTACAGCGCTGGTCTGAGATCTGGTGGAGCGACTTCAACTTCAACTCGGGCCGCAGCAATGGGAATCCTGACGTTCTCTCTCAACAGTATGAGACAAGCTCTAGCCTGGTCAAGAGTGTGGTGCCTGGGACTTCAGTTCCAACTCTGCTTCAGCAGGCTCGGTGTCCCGCGGTGTTACCCTCTGCTACTAAGCTGTAGACTGTAGACTTCCCGTCTCAAGAGGGGGTGGGGGGGTTGAGACCTTGAGACAACTGCACAAGGACCATGAGCACCAGGATATTGAGCGTACCACTGAACTGGTCAGGCAGCGTTGCTATTGGCCCGGGACCCAGTGCCAGGAAAAGTACAGGATTGCTGAGCATCAAGCCAGGTTAATAGTGGCTTTTGAGGGAGCTTGGACACGGTTGTCGATGGCCGCTGACTGTCTCAAGTAGCGGCATGATCAGAGAGTCCACCCTGCGCCTTTACAGGTCAGTCGACTGGTGTATCTTCGAGATCACAGTGCCCGGGGCCGGCACAAGATCCAGGACCTATGGAGCTCCGTTGCCTACCAGGTGTTCAGGGCACCTCAAGGGAATGGGGCTGTATATACCATTGCCCCTGTGGGAGACTTGGACAAGGTTCGACATCTCCATTGTGACATGTTGAAAGGCACAGGTTTGCCCGGGGCCCCCTACACTTTGCCCAAGTAGTCCACCCCTACCTTTGTCTGCTAATTCAGAGTGGAGCTTCCTGAGTGATGATGAGTTGTGGCTACTAGTCCCTGAAGTCCACTTGGTCACATATGGTTCTGCGGTGTTTTGGTCTTTAGTTAGTTTGATCTTAATTACACGAGTAAGTATATTTCTAAACTATGTGCAGTCCATTTAGTTTGCCATTAGTGGAACAAGTTCTATCACATCTCAAAGGCAAACTAGTTTCTGCTGCCTTCAGTTTGGAGCGTCACAACAAAGACTTTAAGAGTTTTAATATATTTTTAACATGCAAAAGTATTTTCACATTGTGAATCAGGTTTACAGTGCTGTTTGCTCTTTTATCTCATTGTCCCTACAGTAAGTTAAAAAAGAAAGAAACAAAAGTGCCATGTTCATGAAACTTGATGGAAAAGTGTAAATTACAGAAGCTGAAGTAATTTCAGGGAAACTAAAAACACTCAGGTTTTTTTTTCTTACATAATTTCTTTCTTCCCCGAAACTGACACTGAAGACTAAGAAACAACTCTCAAAAATAAGCCTAGTCTTATTTTCCACAAGTACCTCGTACTTTTCTTTTTTTAATAAAAGTGTTTTCAACACTGACAAACATGAACACCCAGAAAGACAGCTTTAAGGGGAAAAATCCTGAACTATCTAAAAAGTCCCGACTTTCATGTTTCATCACTGGTGATTTCAGTTGTTATTGTTTTTGTAAAGAGATGATGTAGAGTTAGACGGATCCCTTTCTGATGGCTAAGCTGGAACTAGGTCTCAAAACACAAGTCTAGAGCCTCTATAGTCAGAAGCCTGTGATGACTGATATATTGACTTTCCCTCTTCTTCCACACTATAACTGGCCATTTTTTCCTACTTTTGATTTTACCTCACCTTTAAAAATTATTTACCTTGCCTTGTTTTGTACTATTCTTTTCAGCACAATCTAATATCTGGATTTACTGTTATTTTTTCATTTTGACATACTGCATTAACGGGATTGATCTGAGACTAAATCTAAATCCAAGTACAAAAAAAGTACTTTATTTTTTACTGTAACAATCACAAATTGAACAAATAATTTTCACAACTTGAAATTAAAAAAACCTATGCACAAGTTTTGCAAAAAAGATTTTAAAACTTTTAAAAACTGCAATATAGCTTGAAGTCTGCACTTTCAACACAAGTTGAAATGGAGGCTCTGGTTGGCTACATCTTGTTGCTGTGTCGTCTCAAATTGGTCAAGTGATTTGGACGCGCCAGCGCATCCATTGACCCCAGAGGGTTAAGTCAGCTACTGCATGTATGGAGGAGTAAGGGCAGAGGTGGGTTGCAAAGGGACTTGCAGGTGAGCAACCACCGTGTGCAAGAGAAAGCAGCTTTTATTAGATTAAAAATAAAAATAATAAAAATAATAATAAGATATATAATTTATGACTACATATTTTATAATAAATAGACAAAAGACCCAGGTGTGGCATTTTAAAAACCAGCGCAGCAGCACAGCAAGCTAGAATGAGGCCAGTGAGGTTTGGAGGTGACCACTCTTACAGCCTTTGAGAAGAAGCTGTGCATACTCCTGCCTCAGGGGGGAGGTCGAAGAGTTTCTGGGTTGGGTGTGTGGGGTTAATCGTGATACAGGTTGGACTGCTCCTGCACCTGCTGACGTAAATGCCAGACAATAGACAATAAAGAACAATGGAAATCAAATCTCATCTTTAAACAAAATATCAGTAACAGTCAAGCTGTAGATTTAAATTTCATGAAAAGTGAGAACTCAGCTGTTTGTGAGCTTTCATGCCAAATCAAGTCTAATATAAATCCTGATAAATGTGTTTTTGTAATATCTTTATACTTTGGTACAGACATACATTATAGCAAAAAGCTGCCTCTGCTGTACTGTCCTTAAACAAAATATTCTAAAAAACCCCACTGTAAAATAATCCTGACCTCAAAACAAAAAGCACCATGACTGATGCGTTTGCCACTGTGCTCAGTGACGTCTCTGACATTAATAACAACACAGCTGAACTCCTCCACAGATCATCGCTGCTAAGGATGAGAAGAGGACTTTAAAGTTCACACAATGAACAAGTTCTTCCTTATAAAGAAAATTTAACTTTGATGACATCCAAATCCTTAGAACTGAAACCAAAATGATGTACTTCAGACAATAATCAGTGTGTCTGTGTGTGGCAATTATGAACTTTCATAATTACAAAACAAACATTTGGAAAAACACCTGCAGCTCCAGGCTGTGGTTAGAAAAAATCCCTAGTGTCCAAACATGTTTACATCCTAGCTGCTGTAATCACTTCAAGGGAAAAGGTGTTGGAAATCTTAGCTCTCTTTAGAATACATGCAGACTGCTAGATGTGGTACAGTTCTTAAACAGGCTGACTTCTTATTATCTAAACCAGTTTGGTCCTCAGGTTTTAGTCTGAATATGTATGGGTTAAAACAGAGAAAGACAACCATTCTTGCCTATGGGCAGCTTAAAATCACCATTTAACCTAAACCCACTGACTTCATGTCTTTGGACTGTGGGAGGAAGCTGGAGTACCCAGAGAGAATCCACATAGACATGGGAAGAACATGCAAACCTCACAAAGGCCCAGGCCAGATGAGGAATTCAAAACCAGGAGTTTCCTGCTGTGAGGAAACAGTACTAACCCCCATGTGTGCAGTTAAATTAAGAATAAAAAGTATTAAATATTTAGTGAATTTAAGACAAGTTGTTATTTACAGGTTGTGCAAAACTTGTGCAATGAACATTTAAGTGGCATTTTTGAAGTGGCAGTGTGTAGAGTCCTGTAATTGTAATGAGTGTGTAATGATGTGTATAGAATGTCAGCAGTTCAAAAGTCTGATGGCTTGTGTGTAAAAACTGTCTCTGTGTCTGGTAGTGCGGGTCTGGATGGTCCTGAACCACCTGCTGGATGGCAGGAGTGTGAAAAGTCTGTGGCTGGGATCAGAGAGGATCCGCTGCGTCTTCCTCATGCAACGGCTGGTAGTTCAGTCCTGGTGATGCGCTGTGCTGATCTCGCCACCCTCAGCAGAGCTTTGCTGACAGCTAGGTCATAAAGCTAGGTCTCAATCCCTAGCTATTAAAAGGAAAAGTTTTACACCTAATCTTTAAAATAGAGAGGGTATCCGTCTCCTGAATCCCAACTGGGAGTTTGGGAGCAAGGCACGTCCATGAGCAAGGCACCTAGTTAGGAGGTCCTTTCTTGAGCTGGAGTAAAGAATGAAAAAATTTTTTTTTAACAACAATGTCCTTTCATTTCCATCCTTCAATCATGAGATAAATGCATAAGATCAACATACTTCTGTTTTTTTAAACTTTGACTCAATGAACCAGCCTCCTGCGACTGCGACACAGAGCAGCATAAAAACACAGAAAACCACAAGTGGGATCAGTCGGCTCCGACGGGACAAACCACCTGCCAGGAAAAACCACACAGAGATGAGATCTACTGTAGGACACAACATGACATGTCACATTTATTAAACTATCAAGCACAGACGTTACCTGAAGTTACATAACAGTGAAATGAAGTTAGAATTACTGAGTCCCAGAATTCTCAGGGCAGCAAACATGACTTTGTCAAAAACCACAAGAGAATAACTGATACATTTACTGCTTCACAGAAATAAATAAAGAGATCTGCAGAGCTGCTCCCAGGATATTACACTACACTTCCTGCATCTACTTCAAAGTAAAGCAGCGCACGTTAAACATTTTGAGGACTACACAGAGAGGCTGCCATCAGTGAGAGAAAACTGCATCATAAAGGTGATTTAAATCCATTTCAAGACTTTTTAATTGTCTTGATTTGTTCCTCATGTTCTCACCTTTACTGTGAAACTCGTCCTCAGGAGTTTGGAGAGTTTCAGGATGCAGTGGCGTCTCTGTTGTCATAGTTTCAGCTGAATATAAGATTGTAAGAACATTTAATTATTTACAATAAAATAATATCCAGAAGTCTTTAAGGAGCAACAGCAAAATAAGTTGTTGGTAAAATAACCCAAGCACACCGGTCTTTAAGGCAAGTTTGAAACCAAACAACAAAAATCTTTTCAGTCTGACTCACCAACAATCAGATGAACAATTGAAGACTGTGTTTGACTCTTTAACTTTGGGATGAAACATCTGTATCTTCCTTCATCTTCTTGTGTCACATTAGTGATTCTTAGTGAGATGTTTCCTTCTCTCAGGCCGTCTGTGAACAACGCCGTCCTCCCGACGTACGATGGGATCTTCATGTCAGGGACCTCGCGGGCGTCTCTGTAAAGATGAACATAATCCACTCGACTCAGACGGTCGTTGGGGTCAGGACGACGATCGGGCCTCGACCACTCCACCGTCAACCCTGCCACATTAAACTTTGGCTCCACGCGACACGGCAGGATGACATCATCACCTGGAGCGGCCAGGATAGGCTGAAGTGATCCGACCACATCAAACTCACCTGAGGAGGAGAAATAAATACACACATCCTGCTGAAAACCAAGTCTGGCGTTTTCAAAAATGTCTTCCTTTCTCATCAAACACTTCCAAGTGCAATAAAAAAAATGTTAATATCAACTTTTTAGCACCTCTACACCTGTGTCCAAAGTTCCCTCTAGTTTTTCATGTGTCTGAGCGAACACACAAACTCCCTGAGCGATCTCGTGGACCACTGTGAGCAACAGCAGACATGTGCACTATGGTCACGCCAGCATCGAATCCATCAAAGTTACATGGTTTATTAAAATAATCAAATTACAGCATTTACATTTATGTTAGACTACTTTTAATTAACTGCTTTAGCCCACTTACAATGAAAATTTAAAAAAATTCATTGAAATTGTTCATGATCTGTGTAGTATGTTAACACTATTGGAAGTAAAAATAACTTGAACTCCAATTTTGAAAACACAACTTTTTTTTAAATATAAAGCTCTGACTTGTATTATGAGTCTGTGGTCTGGGAGAGAGTCCTGTAACTCTCTCCTAAAAATGCAGCCAAGGCGTTTTTTAAATAAACATTTCAAACTATTTACAGAACAATCAGCTGTTCTGCATCAAGTCTGATGCCACACAAATTATTTGTGCCACTCCAGAAAACAATTTCTGTCCACTATGAGATAAAGGAGAACAACAGCCTGATACCTGCAGGCCCAACAGGAGGTGTATCACTGCTGTAACACCTGTAACATTCAGCAGTCGCCTCATTGTTCTGACGCACACAACAAAACTATTGACAACACTACACACTAACTACACAAGATTTGCGCTAAACGTCGCAAATCTCTCACATCTCAAAACACGCCGTCACTCCTAAAACTTCCCTCTTTCCTAAACATCTAAATGCCATGTTGCCATATCATTCATTTTTTGATTGGTCGACATGGTACATTTTTCGACAAATAGGAAAAGCTGGGGTTTTTTTTGGTACTTCTTTTTGCTCACAGGCGGAGAGTGCTTTCGAGCGTTTTTCTTATAAAACCTTATAAACCTTATTCCTTATAAAACGTCGTTTTTACAGTTTCTTCCCACAGTAAACATAAACAACGGTAGTATTCAGGAAGAAAACCAAACATTGCAGATATTTTTATCATAACTCTGGTTTTACGTGGCCTATCAACACAATTTAAAAACTGGTATAACGTCCACACTTTTCCGTCAATTGTTACTCGCAAGTGTAAACACAGTGACAGCGCATCAGAAGCACGGCCAAAAAAAGATGATTAACATGAATTAAAGCTTAAATGTTTTCTAAAGAAATCAAGTAACTAGTATTTCAGAATTATTACTTTTTTAATTGCAGTGAGACTTGAGAGCAAAACGCAGCATAAAGCTGAGAGAGACACACTGAACTTAAACTCTGCTACATCCATCTACAGTGAGAGGGAGGCAGAAACTGTCTCACAGCAGCTGATAAATGCTGAAAAAGTGCAGCTCTAACAGTGTTAAACATGCATCTCAGTAAAAAGTGCAACATGGACAGGTTTGGGTCTCTGAAATCAGCACAGCTTTAATTTTAGAACCAAAGCCTGTTTTAAAATAGACCCAAAGCTCCACACAGCTGTGGGGCAGGCTTCAGGTCTTTACATCGTATTCTTGCATTGAATGTAAGTTACATTATTCTAAAAGTAAAATAATAATGGTAAATAACACAAAAGAGCACCTGTAACTTCAAAAACAGTGATTAAGAAGATTAAGACGAGCAAAATCAAATCACTGACAGAAAGATTCCTCTGTTTGCGAAGCATGTGGAGAGCAAAGTGGATCCTGACTGTCACCGTTTACACGTCAGTTAACAAAAAGGAATCAGTTGCATGCACTTTATCCTTGTTTATAACCTGAATGTTTTGTGCTCTTCCTTCTTTATTTACATGTTCCAATTCATGTATTGTAGCTTAGTGGCTCATTTACAACACGCACCAAGCTAGCTTGGCTCAGGCTGTAAACACTGTGGAAATGTAGCTTTGGTTAATGCTACACGTGTCTCTGTACAAGCA